TCCCAGGATTCTGAGATGGATGTATAACATGATAGTTAGATCAATAGTCACCTATGTAGCAGTGCGCACATGTCCGACGGCAGCGCTTGAGGTGATTCTCGAGCTCGAGCCGCTGCACCTTACCATAGAACAGGCTGCAAAGCGAACTCTACTAATTTTCGCGAGGGAAGGCTTTGGCAGGGGCAAAACCATATCATTAAGGAACAGAGAAAAGCTAGGCTCCCAAGTCCCGCTAGCTTTACTCCCCAGACACGACAGGCCTAAGGTGGTTAACTTTGACAGGAATTTCAAAATAGAGCTTTGCACCAAGGCGACCTGGAGCACCTCTCTCATGGAGAGGCTGAGCCAATCGAGCTCGTTGCAATGGTATACAGACGGCTCGACGACTCCGGAAGGCATTGGTGCTGGCGTCTACGGGCCGAGGCTACAGCTCTCGGTACCTATGGGGGCATACCCGAGTATCTTCCAGGCGGAGGTCTATGCCATCAGTCTGTGTGCAGAGGTTAACCTACGTAGGAATTACCGTAACGAGAGAATTTTTATATTGAGCGACAGCCAGGCGGCCCTCAAGGCCCTCTCAGCATTTGAGGTCAAGTCGTCCTTGGTTCTTGAGTGCATAGATAGGCTAAACAGCCTGGCGGAGCACAACGAAATCCAATTAACTTGGGTACCAGGACACATAGGAGTTGCGGGCAACGAGGAAGCGGACCGACTAGCTAGAATGGCGGCCGCCTCGTCGCCTATAGGTCCTGAGCCCTTCCCAGCGATTGGACCTAGTACAATCAAGGAGGAGCTCAGGAAAGAAAGGAACAGACAAAGGAATCAACACTGGCGTAACACTACAGGTTTACGTCAAGCAAAACACCTTCTGGGAGGCTACAACCTTACGAGGTACAGGGCAATTATCAATCTATCCAAAGGAAAACTAAGGATTATAACAGGTTTTCTGACGGGTCACTGCAGACTGAGAGGCCACCTACACAAGCTAGGGATTTGGTCAAACGACCTATGTCGTTTCTGCGACGTGACTGAGGAGACTCCCGTGCACCTGCTTAGCGAATGCGTGGCGGTCGCGAGAAGACGGGAGAGGTACCTGGGCCACTACTGGCCAAGTAACGAAGCAATACAATCGCTAATCCCTGGGGATCTCCTCAAATTTTTGGGCTCTCTAGGATTAGACGAGGTACTGTAAATGGTTGAGGGCACAATAGACCTGCTGGTCGCAGTGCATGCCTCTATTAATTATCTATCTATCTCTATCTATATATACGCGTAAGGAAATTAGAACTAATATAATAGACTGTTTAGTGAGCGACTTGAAGGCCTGGTTGTTGACGATAAAATGCATGGTACACAGTAATGAATTGTATGTTATGGGAGTATATAGATCGCCTAATAGCTCTGAGCGTGAGTTTTGCAACATTTTTAGTAATAAACTGGAAACAATAATGGAAACAAATAAAGATGTTATAATAGCTGGTGATTTTAATATTGACTGGTCCAAAAACAGTTTTTATAAACGCGAGTTATAGAAAATAATACACGATAACGGTCTTATGCAGAAAGTAAATGAGAACACTAGAATAACAAGAAATTTGGGAACGTTGATTGACTACGTCTTAACAAACATATACAATCTAAGTGTCAAAATTGAAAACTCTAAAAAAGCCCACACTGGAAAATGTAATAAAAACCAATCACAAAGTAATCGAATATTTCCACTATAATCAGGCTGAATTCAACAGGATGCTGATCGATAAAAACTTAAGTTTCGTCGATTCATACAATGTAAGCCAAAACACAATTCTACTCGAAAAATGCATGGAAGATTTAATTATAAGCAGGGAACGGATTTTATGAAAATTGCCTTTTTTTCTGCTAAAGAGATAGAGTATATTCGATTAAGAATGTCCACGATTTAGCTTTCCCTGATTCCATGTATACACACTTGATGTTGCCCTTTTTTGCCTTTTTTAAGATATTTGCCTTTTTTTGCCTTTTTTAAGATATTTGCTTTTTTTGCCTTTTCTACCTTTAAAAAAGTTATTATAGCATTTACAATTTTTTTTTAAGATTAAAAAATATACACGTTGCCCATGCGGCTTATAGAAGCGCAGAGACCTCTTGCCAAATTGGTGTTGGAAAAATTCAAAGCCGTTTTCTCAGCTAACGAAGGCTTGGAGACAATAAGGGGTGTGGATAAAATTATAAAGGGTGAGGAAAACGCCTTTATTCCTGATAATATGAACATTTCAAACGTTCCATATTTAAATTGGGTTCCACTTGTATCAACTTACGTCGAGCGCACATTTAGTACATTCAAGGCTTTTCTTCGCGAAAATCGAATGAAAATGCTGCCAGAAAACTTCAAAATGCATCTTGTGGTTCAATGTTACTACAACTATACAGATTAAAGTTTTATGAGTTAGAAACTCGAAAGGATAAAATGGTCAAAGATTCAAAGTACAAATATTTCATACATATAATGAAACTAGTTCATAGTTTTTCTCTTTTTACTTGTAATATAAACATTTCTAAAATAAATGTATTTTTTTATTGTTCTTCGTATTTTCTGTCTTTTTTTAGTGCCTTATTTTGCTTTTTTTGCAATACATAGTGCCTTTTCCTGCCTTTTTCGCTATTTTGTTTTGCCTTTTTTTACCTTGTTTGCAACACCTAGTGCCTTTTCCTGCCTTTTTTACTATTTTATTTTGCCTTTTTCAGCCTATTTCGTTATTTTATTTTACCTTTTTTATAGGTTTTTAGGTCCTAAAAATCCGTTCCCTGATTATAAGCAATACAAGAAGGAAGATAACGCATACAGCAGCATCGGATCACAATAAATTGTTTAACTCAAAGCTACGTAAGTTAAAATCATGATTCAATAATAAAAGGTTTGCTCAGAAAACAGTTTCCTCGCTCCCTCTTGACAAAATCGGCTAATAATCATGGTGAAATAATAATGTGTTGTCACTTAGAGGGTGGTTGTTGTAATTTTGGCAATTTCGGCATACCAGCGTTACAGTAATGCCTACTCTATTCATTCCAATTTCATTTTTGGGAAAATGGAACAAAAAATGGAGCAGACAATTTTGTGAAAAAAATATGTGTAGATATCACTCACTTACTACGTTTATTCGAACGTATTATTTGCAAATAACAATTGCAAAATGGTAAACTTTGCTGTATAAACGCTGAGTTATTTTTTTATTTGCAAATAACTAAATCACGCAAATAAGTATTGATAAGTGGTACTATTTGCAAATAAGCGAAAGACGTCGCCATTCTTAGGTTTATTTTCATTTTCGATGGTCATCTTTTGCCTTTTAATAATCAAAACGTTGCCATTTTTAATTCTATTTTCATTTTCGATGGTCATATTATTGCCTTTTTATTATCAGGCAATATTAAAAAAGAATTTTTCACCATCGAATAAACAGTTAGTTAGGTATTCGCAAATCATTTTTATTTGCAAATAGCTTACTTACAAACGTAGTAACTGTTTCTTTGTTTCGCTGTTGCTTTGACTTTTCGTTTCAAATTCATTGGAAAATTTAAGCAATAATTTCCAATAATTGTGATTCTTTAAGTAAATTTTTGGTAAAATATATACTGTATATATCCAACTGATTATTGGAGCAGTGCCTCGGATGGCTAAGATAATGCACTTTGGTCTAACAATTTAAACGCATAATTATTTTATAATATAACTGATAAAATTCAGAAATGTAATTTTAAAATGTTAACGAAAATAAAGGTCGTAATAAAATTTCCTTTAAAGTTAAGATATTTAAAAACTACGTACTTCAGAACTTAAGGAAAAAATACAATAATAAAATAATAAAATTCCATACGGGCCAATATGTAACTTTTAGTAGAATTTAAGAATAATTAAATCAAGATAACGGTACAATTTAATTTGTTTTAATATGAATAAATGAAAGACGGAAAATAGTCCTTATTTTTTAAGTTTTAACCATCATCATATGTGTGTGGTACGACCGTGTGGCCTTTAAGTTTTGCAAATAATAATTTTAAGGTAGAAAAATATAAATGAATAATAATTATTAAAATCAATATATTTGATCGAAAAAATAAAAATTAATTAATAATAATTTCTTTTGAGCGAAAAAATGAGACTTTAATTACACTGGTTTACTGGAAAATATTTTATTGATGCAAGCTTCATTTAACCGGTGTGGGGTCCACTGATGTATGTATGTATTGGAAATAGTACCGAAAACGTAGTAAAACTAATCCTAATCTGTTCCCCCTTTTTCTACTACCCCAAAATGCATGGCCGCAATTGGCATGCAGAAAAAGTGAGGTTATGTAATAATCTAATGTCAATAATGAGCAAACCTTTAAATATTGAATCATGAGTTAAAAGCACAAAAAATTAGATCGTATCAAACAGCACGACTTGTGAATGACATCAACTCTTGGGGAAATTATAAAAATGTGTGTAACACTTATAAAAATGAATTAACCAAGGCAAAAAACAAATACATTAAACTGAAAATCAATAGCGCGGCGGATCAAAGAGGAATGTGGAGAGTACTGAAAAACTTAACACTGGGCAAAGATCTAAACGAAATAGAATCGATACTTTATAAAAATGAAGAAATAAATGATTGAAACGATATATCAAATAAACTTAATAAATATTTTATTCAGTTCAAAGTGGGCAACCGCCGCGATAACACGTCCCGTGGTATTTCACGCGCTCTTTACCTCTTTGCGTTCAACTATCGTAGTCTCCCCTATTCCAGTTACCGCAACTTCCTATAGTTGCAGTTCCCTGCAGTGAAAAATTATCAATTGTTAAAACTAACCAACTTATAGTTAGCTTTTTGGCGAGATTTCGATTAATACCTCACTTTTAATTAGCTATGACAAAACCAACTTAAAGTGAATTGTAAAGTCGTGCAGGAGTCATGCAGACGCAATCGGGAGTTGGTTTTCTTTACAAGTTTCTATTAAATATCCTCATACAAAAATTACTTTCAATACACTTTTTTTCTGAACTTCGCAGATTCTTTTTCATATTCAGGACAAATAAAAGGAAGATCGAAATTTTATACTATCATTTTGAAGTTATGTCTGACGGTGTTCGAATATGGGGCCACCCAGAGCAGAATATGTAAACAAATATGAAATGTAATAAAATAAAGTAAATAAATAAGTAAATAAAAAAGTAAAAAAACAAAAAAATATTTTGTTTTTCTTATTGATATTTTATGTCCAAAAGTAGTTAGTTACAAGTTAGTTGACATGTAATGCAGAGGTATCCAGGTCTGACTTTTTTGCGGCCATCGCCCCACAAAAGTAGTTAGCTTTTTTCGGACAAAATACACAGTTAATAGTTAGCAGTAGTGTTCGCGTAAACAGACTAAAGTTAGGTATAAGCTAACGTCACTCCCTGCAGGGTTGTTATAGTTTACTTATTCGAAGTAAAAACCAACAAAACTCAAAGAAAAGTAAAAACCAACAAAACTCAAAACAGTGCCGCAGTGAACATTCGACACCATGAAGGGGGCTGAACCACCCGAAAGCGACAGGTTTCGGCTACTCGATCCTGATTTGCAACTTCCCAAGAAACGTCCAAAATTCAGTGACTTTGTACCCCTATCTGTTGTAAAACAAAACGACGATCATATCCCCCGGTTCTTAGTGGCAAGTGCTATCTATCGGTCCAATTGTTGATGAAAAAATTCGTCCATTATCATCATATAATGTCTTTCAAATCGAAAGAGGTTTAAAATACATTTGCGACGAGAACAACGTTGTAACGGAATTAAGATCCGGTGACCTTCTCCTCAAAGTTGAAAATATCAAATCGGCCGAAAAGTTTTTTAAAGCTACCCACATAGGTATTATACCTGTAAAAATTACTTCCCACAAAGGTCTGAACACAACTCAAGGAAGATTATTTTCGAGAAGAAAAATTCAAGAATTTGAAAAATTCTCCTCAGCGGTTCTACCTTCCTATTTTTTTATCATGGTGCAAACCTACCTAGAATCAAATAATATATTGTCAATAAATCAGTGGGTTTTCGTAAAAATCACTCGTGTGAGAGTACAATAAATCACATTGTCGGTGAGTGGAAGAACTCTTCGCGTAAAACAAAAATAGTGGAGTTGTTTCTTGACATAAAAAAAGAACTTTTGAAACCATAGACAGAGAAATTTTGTTCAAAAAGTTATACATGTACGGTATAAGAGGACAAGTAATTTTTAGCAAAAAAAACGGACTTGAAAAAAATATATATATATCTATATATTTCATGATCCAATGATCGGATCTAAACCAAATTAGTATGGGACCTGAGACACTACCTTTCCGTTGCAGAATTATTGAAATCGGTTGACGTCGAGAAAAGTTATGCGGTAACATACATAAAAAAAAAAAAAAAAAAAATATTCCGACGAACTGATAACCTCCTTTTTGTGGAAGTCGTTCCAGTTCAGTGGTTTAGGCAATATCTCTCAAATCGTAGACAACAAACTAAAGTTAGATGTTCGAAATCTAATTATAAATTTGTGAATGTGGGAGTGCCTTAAGGATCGATTTTGGGTGCAATTCTGTTTATAATATATATAAATGAATTGACTTATTTACGCAACTAAGTTCCAATTCGTCTTTTAAGCGTGGTTGCGTATATTTGACATTTCCATCAATTATAGTTTTGAAATAAAAGAGACTGATGCATTGGCTTGATGCATTTCTGAAAGCACCCAACATTAAATATTTAGGCATAATAATAGATAGTGAGTTGAAATTTAAAGACCATGTAGATTATCTATGTAAAAAAGACGGCAAAAAAATAAACTTCTTTAAAAGGATACCAAATAAATTGGACACATTAACAGCAATAAAAATCTACAATACAATAATAAAGCCACATTTTGAATACTGCTCTACAGAATCTGGCTCCGAGATATCTAACTAAGTTCATCCAATATGTTAGAAATACACATCAGTATTCAGTGCGGAATGCGAATGACTTTCGACTTGGATTGCAAAGAACTACTACAGCGAAAAACACATTAATGTATAAAGGCTTTAAGTCTTTTTAATTCCCTGCCGGACAACGTGAAAAATTAAAACAATTAAAACAATTCCGAAGACAGCCGGTTCTACGTACCGGAATGACTCGGGTTTTACCCGACCAAGGGCTGTTGTTTCGGCGACCTAACCCCGCTTAGATCGGCGATACCCCTCAATCATTGTTCGTCCATGGAGCAACTCATTGCAGCCGGATTACTCCGCATCCTTCTTCTCCGAGCGGGCGTAGGGCCCAACCCCGGACCAGAATCGTATTTCTGCTGTGTTTGCCAGAATCGACTCCATCCAAACTCCACTTCGGTTAGGTGCAATTCTTGCAACGGATGGAGTCACCTAAGAACCTGCTCTGGTCTTAGGTCTCATCGGGAGTGGACCACAAGCTATGTGGCTCCCTGCTGCTCAAGCCAAACGGCACAATCAGCCTCCACGGCTACCCGCTCGCGCAACGCACCAAACACCCGAAGAGCCTGCACGGCTCTGAGAAGCTCCTCTGGGCAGCAGCAAACCTCCCATGGGTCGGCATGGCATATTGATAGCTGCGGTCCAAGAAACGAAGTTGCACAGCAACTCAACTCTGTTGGGTTGCGCCGCCTACAATGTGCTCCGTAAAGATCGCGAGCGAGATAATGGTGGCGGACTAGCGTTCATCCTACACCACACAGTACAGTATCGGCTTATCGAAGAAGACATCGACCCGAGGGACACCACCCTAGAATGTCAGGGCATAGCTGTCCGGTCAGGCGATGTCGAGCTAGAAATATTCAACGTCTATATACCCCGTCACCTGCTGCCCGGCAGGATATCACCCTGACATAGGTGCGCTACTCAGAGGAGAAAGCCGAATGGTAGTAGGTGACTTCAACGCGCTCCACGATCTCTGGCACTCAAGCCTGGCCAATGATCGTAGGGGAAACCTTTTTGGATAGATGATTCGACATTCTGCACCATGAACGACGACGCCCCCACCAGGATTATGGGTAGCTGCAGCAGCTCGCCAGACCTCACAATTGCTAGCGCTGGTTTGATCAATAGCATATCATGGCGACCTATGCTAACACTAGCATCAGACCATCTACCCATAATCATCTCGATCAATAAGCCCACCGACTTTGCTCCAGCGGACCACAGAACCTACACCAACTTCAACAAAGCTGTTTCGGACGGGAAGTTACCGAGAGCAGCTTCGCCGCCCTTCCCACACCCACAAACATACATACTGGCGAACCCCAGTTCCGCAGGGTAGTCACTGCCGCAGCGGCTCGCTTCATCCCGTCCGGACGTATCGCGGAAGTCCGCCCAAAATCCCGGCCGAAGCAGCTGTACTAGCAAATGAGCGTGACCACCTACGTCAGGTCGCCCCGGGGACCCTCGTCTGAGGGACCTTAATTTGGAGATTCGGCAACTGGTAAATCAGCATACGCGGAAAAAGTGGGAGGAGCATTTGAAGGCCTGTAACTTCACATCTGGTGTGAGTAAGCTCTGATCAACCTTGAGGTCCTTGGCTAACCCAACGAAGCGTGATGACAGAGTGGAAATCTCTTTCGAAGGTCGCGCTTCGTCGGACCCGAAGAAATGCGCAGCCTACTTTTGTAGGCAATTCACACTGCATCCTTCGGTAGACAGGGCCAAACGTCGAGTGACTCTCCTCTCCTTGGCTGCACAAGCTGCCAAAAAACAGTGCACCACTTGTTTTCACCAGCTGTGAAGTGAAGGGGCCATCGGGATGGCGAAAGCCTCCAAAGCCATTGGACCCGACGGAATCTGTATGCTGATGCTAAAACATTTAGGGCCTAAAAGAGTAGCTTACCTAACGGAGGTCCTCAACCTGTCTATGGCCACTCTCATCATTCCTGATATGTGGAAATCAGGGAGAGTGGTCCCACTGCTGAAACCGGGGAAGCCCGCCAACAAAGGAGACTCTTATCGCTCGATAACGCTCCTTTCCAAGGTCGCGAAGACACTTGAGGCCCTACTACTCCCATACTTCACCTGCCACCTGACCCCAGCGAAGCACCAGCACGGATTCCGTAAAGTGCACAGCACAACAACAGCACTAACGCCATAAACACCCAAATAACTCGTGGCCTAAATCGAAACCGCCCCAGTGAGAGAACGGTCCTAGTAGCGCTGGACTTGTCAAAGGCCTTTGACACCGTCTGCCATTCCACGCTACTAGAAAACATAGAGGCCTCCTCACTCCCACAGGGACTGAAGCGATGGTCGGCGAATTATATGAGTGGTCGACAGTCGTCAGTAATCTTCCGAGATCAAAACTCGAAACCAAGAAGGAGAAAACAAGGGGTTCCACAAGGTGATGTCCTCTCCCCCTTTCTATTTAACTTCTACATCTCGAAGCTTCTTCAACCACCTGAGGGAGTTTCCCTGATCTCATACGCTGACGATTGCTCGATTTTGGCGTCCGGGAATGGAACTGATGACCTCTGCTCAACAGTAGACGATTATCTCTCCAGCCTTTCTCGCTTCTTCACTGCAAGGAGCCTAACACTCTCCCCAACAAAAACAACGGCGACCCTCACCACCTGGACGAAGGAGGTCAGGCTAGAATTAGGTATACACGTCGATGGCACACCAATACCGACTGTAAACAACCCGAAAATTTTAGGGGTCACCTTCGATAGCCTGCTCTCCTACTCCACGCACACAACCGCAGTTGTCAATCAAGTACAGAGCCGCAACAAGGTCCTCAAGTCGCTCGCCGGCAGCACTTGGAGCAAAGACAAGGAAACGTTGCTGGCAACATACAAGGCAATTGGCCGGCCGGTTCTAAACTATGCTGCGCCAGTTTGGACGCCGGGGACGCAGTGGACGAAGCTACAGACTTGTCAGAACGCCGTACTCCGGACAGCGACTGGGTGCCTTCTGATGATGCCTGAGCACCACCTACACAGCGAGGCCCAAGGGCTCCCCGTAAGGGAACACAACAAATGCTTGGTAAGCAAATTCCGGTGGGGTGTCACAGAAGAGAACACCCAAACAGACCTTTGCTTCAGGAGGAGCCTCCGGCCAGGCACGTCAGGGGGCACCTATTCGTATACAAGGACGCAGTCCAACAATACGTAGACCAACCACTGGACCCGACGACATACAGACGACCCATTAACGACATCCATAGAGAGTCAGTTACCATCTACCTCGACTCTCGACCTATGAATGCGTAATAGGAGCCCACACACCACCTGTAGAAGAGACGGAGCTGCAATTGCCAAGAGAGACCCGCGTTACCCTGGCTCAATTACGGTCTGGATACTGTAGCCGCCTCAACAGCTACCTGTCCAGACTCGACCCCAATATCCCCAATGAGTGCCCGGCATGTGGAGAATCCCCCCACGACACCAACCACCTCTTTACATGCCAGCTCAATCCGACTCAGCTAACACCCCTCTCCCTCTGGTCCGAACCCATTGAAACAGTTAGTTGAGCTTGATGAAAGAGACATCTTCCGCACAAGGCCTTCACGTGCTGGCCTCAATGGTGCGATTGTGATCTAATTTCATTCCCCTCTTGATCGCAATCGCATTCTCCGTGCTTTTGGCGACTATCGCAGGCGTATGAAGTCTGCTGTTCCCCTGCAATCCCCTGGCATCCAGGGGAATTTTCACCTATTTGAAAGCCTAACCAAAGGACTACTTTTGCAAGCGGCCATAAAACTGCGGCGTGAGGGGAAGTTGCAGTCTGCATTCACACTCCGCGGTTGTGTGCATGTAAGATTAACCAATGATAAAGCAAGCCAACCTACCAAAATTTCGTGCGAAGATGATCTGGAGCAGTTTCGCTAGTTGTAAGCTTATGTGTTTGTTTGATTGTATGTTTGTTGTTTTGTTTTTTGTTTATTTTTGTAATGTAAAGATAGCGAAACTCAGATTGTTTTGTTTCGGTTTCCTTTTTTGTCTTCTTTTTTGTTGCCTTAAAGTTGCTTTTACTTCTGCTGCTTTAAATGAGTGCAAATGATAGAACGGCGAATAGCATTGAAGACAATAGCCTTGCAATGCTGAACATTTTGTGCAGGCGCCAAAAGGGGTTCAACGTTGTGCACTTTAATGCGCGCAGCTTGAATAAAGAAAAAATGGAGGTGATAGAGGAGTATTCGAATTATCTAGTGTTGATGTCATTTGTGTATCCGACACTTGGTTTAGACCTGAAGTAAAAGATGCCCACTTTGACATTAAGGGTTACACAATTTATAGAACAGATAGGAAGATCAAGAGGGCTGGTGGTGTTGCTATGTATTGTAAAAAGTATTTAAAAACTCGGTTGATATCAAGAATATCTGGTAGCGCTACTGAGCATGTGTTAGTTGAAGTGACTAGTTCATCGACTAAAGTCCTTTTTGTCTTGCGTTTATAATCCTCATAAATGTTGTAATGTGAATGAATATTTTAATATGTTGTCCTCTGTCGCTGTTGATTATAATGACATTGTTATTTGTGGAGATTTTAATGTGAATCTGTTATGTAGTGATTTATATAGCTCTCGCTTGTTAGAAGATGTCTCCGGTGTTGGTCTAGATGTGGTTAATGTGTCTGTACCCACTAGGTATGGGCAGAACTGCTGTCCCAGCCTTCTCGATTATTTCATTGTGTCTGATACGTCCATTGTTTTGAAGTTTGACCAAATGTCATTTATCTCGGACCATGATCTTATTTTTTGAGCAATTGATATTAATTTTGGCAACCATAGTATTTCAGCTAGTCCATCACAATAGCCCAACTTCGCTCTGGCTAGTTAGCAGTGTATAATATCTTAAGAAATTTACGAATGTCTGCAACTTTTACGCCGGTCCATGTTAGGAGAAAACTCGCTAGACAACTAATAATGCCTATCATTTGCTACCCTGAACTAGTCTACAGTAAACTAAGCTCTAAATCTGCTCATAAAATTGATGTTACATTCAACCATGTTACACGCTATGTGTTCGGGTTGGCAAAATTTGACCCTATCTCTGGTTGGAGAAAGAGTTTACTAGGCTGTGAAATTGCTAGCTGTCTGAAAGCCAGAACCTGCATCTTTCTCTGTCGGCTTATTATGTATACGGAGCCAAGCTATCTATATGACAAGCTCATTTTCCCTCAGTCAGCTCGAATTAATGACTTGATAGTACCAAGTTATAATTATTATACCTCCGCGCGGCTATTCTTTGTCAATGCTATTCGTACATGGAACTCTATTCCAATGTTCATTCGCTGTAGTCTAAATAAAAGCAACTTTAAGTTCGTTCTATATTCGTACTTTCGTTAAAACAAATATATACATATGTATGTACATATTTTGCAAAATTATGAGTTTCGCTATCTAAATATATATTTTTCGGCCAATACGGATAGCCATTGTATTATTTTTAATTGTATGTTTATTACAAATCTTAGTCTTAAGAATTACTATTTATTTATTTTATTTTTCTGCTTTTCCTGTTTATTGATGTACTATAAAATATCGTAGACCTTATTGTACTAATGTTTTTTCGCAATAAATGAAATGAAATGAAATAAAATGAAAGATATTAACCTAACCTAACACCATTCATGCAACTTTAAAAGTTTGTAACTTTTTAAATAGACGCCTTCGCGCTCTGGGGTTTGGTTAGAATCGGAAAAAGCTCTACACGCCCTCATTTTTATTTTTTTCAAATTTGGACCGAATTTAAGGAAAATTTTCCCTGCCAGAGTGCCAGGCCACTTGCTCAATTTGGTGAATACCACTAATAATTTGCTGGGGTGGCAGTGCTAGTTGAGCAAATTACGAAAAGTATAAACGTCATAAGCACAGTATAGCCAAAAATTTCGAAGTGAAACTACCTTCTTTTTACCTTCCTTTTATTAACTCGGGATGTAACTATGTAATATTGATGCGCCTAAAAGATACAGGGATTTCTATTCTCAAGTTACATACCTGATGACAGTACGAATGGCAATTATAATAGGGAGGTTTTAGTTTCTTTAACAATAATTTTATTTCATAGTGAGCTACAAGTGAGTTGAACTGGTTATCTCTTCTACCTTGTTATATATGCATTGGAAAAAATAATTTTTTCATTTTTAAACATACCTTGCATTTCTCTTCACCACAAAATATTTCAACAATCATATTATTATCCTTGGCGAATTTATATGAAAAAGCTCCATGCTCTCCATCATGATTTTTCGTTTCCATTTCGAAGGCCAAAGCAACATTATTTTGATTCTCACTTAGCGGGCGACCATTTATAAGCCTCTTATTTTTAGAGAAACTGTAATTTTCCTTACAATCTGGTAATTTGTACTGAGTATGGCAAGGTATAAAATTGTCTCCGCCAAAGCTTCCAGTTGATATATTTTCTAACGAGTTAAGGTGGTCTGATATTTCATACGAATTGTTCCAACTTTTGGGCTTTTCCTCTGCATGGAATTCTCTGAAAACGGTGAAAGTAAGTTTGATAGCAAAAGCTTCTATTTAGAAATAATTACCTAACAGACTTCCTTCCACTAAAACTTATCCGACGTTTTGGTTTTGAAGTAGAGACTGCATTGGGTTCTATTCGAGGATTTGATGTGGAGTCCGAATTCCTTAGCTGAGTAAACATTTATTCATAGACTCGATATAAATACCTTGGTAAAAGAATTATATGTGCATCAAGTTTTCCTTCGATTTCTCAGCATTAAATAAGGGTACAGTTAGTTAGTTAGAATAGCCCTTGGTTTATATGTATTTTTCGTACAATAGGTTGGTATTCCAGTATAATTTTATTCACCGTTTCACCAATTAGTAGTATATTCAATAGAGAATTATTATATGTATGTGCATAAGGAGTTATTCGGCTTCAATTGGTGCAGTGTTATAAATTCTCAACAAAAAAGTACACTAACTAAAACCCTTTACCCTCATTTAATGCAGAGAAATTGGGGGCATACATCAAGATTACCAACCGTTCAGCTATAGAAAAACTAAAAATGCAGATTGCTAGTACTTTTTACGCTAATTTTAACTATATAAATATTATTTGCCGCAAAAGTAGATATAAAAGGTAAAACAAAAAAATATTGATATTTTAAAATATTAATATTTTGTAAACTGCGCAACCGATTCAAAAGGTAATGATGTCAAAATAGAGACAATTAATTTATCTTCAAGCTGATATATAAAATATGTATGCTTTTTTATATATTTCAGCGGAAGATATAAAACAAAAAAATTTTCATAATTTTTTCTTAAAACAACCTTTTTTTAGAAAAAGTCTATAATCAATGCAAACAAAATTTATATTATTTAGAAAGTGAAAGTTTTTACCTTTAATTTGATATACCTATTATATTATGATTTGCTTTTGAGTTTTCAGAATTCAGTGATAATAAAAAATATGTATAAAAAACATGTATGTATGTGCAAAGGCATATTGTAGTTAATTAAACGGGTTGGCTTTCCATTATGGCCGTTCGTTAAAGGGGCGGTTGGCGAAAGGTAAGTGGGCGTAGCACCTCTAACCCACCTTTTTGGAGAGGGAATGAATCGCCATTGACACAAATGCAACCCCCGACCACCTAGGTCCCCCTATGGTTCCCTAGGGACCCCTTAAAAAAATTGCCAAAAATCACAATTTTCATTTGCGTTTTTTCGCTTGAAAAATGTTAAATATTCATTTGCACAAACATTTTTATATACGCATTTTTATATACAAGACAGTAACCATAATAGACATCACTGGGGCTGCAGCCCCAGGTTTACCACACCGAAAGGGAATTCTAGTTACCTCAACCTTTCCCAAGACTACATCACTGGGGCGGTGCACACCAGAAGGAGAATTCTATTTGGTGAGGGTTATAGTCCCTAAGTGCGGCCGAGGGCCGCTTACACAGAAAGGTGTTCTCTGCAAAAGGTGTTCAGCTCCGCTTCTTCGGCNAAATTCTATTTGGTGAGGGTTATAGTCCCTAAGTGCGGCCGAGGGCCGCTTACACAGAAAGGTGTTCTCTGCAAAGGTGTTCAGCTCCGCTTCTTCGGCAATGCAGAAAGGAGAATTCTACTTTGTAAGGGCTATGATCCCTAAGCGCGGCCGAAGGCCTCCTACGCAGAAAGAAGTTCTGGGCAAAAGAAACTATGACATCACCCACCCTTGTCACTTTCTTGTAAATGCTTTTAATTTTTTTATCACTGAATTCTTAAACCTCAAAAGTAGATTATTATAAAATATGTATATCAAATTAAAGGAAAGCACTTGCATTTTCTAAATAATATATGTCTTTAGCATTGACTAGCAGACCCGGCGAACTTCGTCCCGCCCAAAATTTTTATATATTTTATTGAAACTTTTTGGTCCAAAATTTGTACCAACAATTCATGTTTACGATTTCCATTGGCACATTTGTCTGCTAAGATTAAGGTTTGGTGGTTCTTTGCCGCTTTAAATAACCTAAGGAAAGTGTTAAACTATGTTCACATTACCAACATAAAATACTTAGTTTCGTTTAAAATACCTCACTAAATTAAGTGCGTTCATACACGCGTTTCTTTATTTGGCTTGACAGCTTTGAAGCAACCCTGTGTTATTGTTTATTTAACGAAAAGAGATCGCGAATGTGAGTAATTGCGTATATTTTTATATTCTGAGTTGTTTGTGGTAATTTTTTAGATTTTAGATGAGTGATCAAAAGAGAAAGCTTCTGGAAATATTTTACAAACTACCACGCGCGATTATTAAAAACAAAAACGTCCAAACATAAGCTTATCCAGGCAAAAAGCTACCTATGTACCGAATTTTAAGCAAATCGGACCATAAATACGATTTCTTCGAACAGATCGGTCCCTGGTCCACTTCTCGGACAAAATGATATATGATAATATATGCTAAAAAGCTACCTACGTACCGAATTTTAAGCAAATCGGACCGTAAATACGATTTTTTCGAATAGATCAGTCCCTGGTCCACTTCTCGGAAAAAATGGACCATATATCCTAATATATGCAAAAAACTACTTACGTACCGAATTTTAAGCTAAATCGGACCATAAATGCATTTTTCGAATAGTGCTGACACTTGGAATCTATACAAATGCTAAACACTTACCTACTAAATTTTAAGCAAATCGGAGCTATAATAAGATTTTTTCGAATAGACCGGTCCCTGGTCCACCTACCCGAAAAAAAGTAAAAATTTTTTATCCTAAAACATGGTGGTTACCGAAAGCTATTCGTATACAAAATTTCATGAAAATCGGAGCAGCCGTTCGCGAGATTACCTGTTACAAAAAAAAGGGACTTCTCTTTATATAATTAGTATAGATTATGCACTTTTTTCTAAAAATGGTTATTTTATGAAAAAATTATAACATTTTATTTTTTTTTATATTTTTGGCTTAAATATTAAGGCAAGCAAACACATTTTATATATCAACTTAAAGGTAGATTAATCAATTGTTTTCCCAACGAGTGTTGGTGGACGTGTTTCGGCGCATAATATTGGATACCTTCTTTTTTGGCGCAACGGCACATGTGTGTGTGCCTTGTAAAATCACCATTTTGATTTAAGTGGATAAGCAAAACCTAAAAACTATAGCCTTTTTCAAGGCTGACGCTTTTGAGTACAGACGGTGCTTCGCTTTTGACGTCACAGCGTATTTTTTTGGACAAATCGGCGGAATTTTTTAATTCACCGGAATTGTGTGGGAGCACCCAAGGTTCAGGTGAGTGATTGTGACTTTAGTGTGGGGTTGCGAAATCTCTTGTGCTTTTGTTTTAACTTTTTTGCCTTAAAAAAATCAAGCCTGCCCCCGACGGCAGGAAAAAACCCGAAGCCGCTATGGCATCCTCACTATCGAGGACGTCATCGGCAGATGACTTCGAAGCTTTCCCGAGCAACAATCTAGTTAGGGGCAAGCGCCTAAAAAAAGAAAAAGAAATTAGAATAGCAAAAATGCTAAAGCCTCATGTCATGGCAAGAACTAGTCTTGACATGGGTGTAACCGGTGAGGGAAAAAACGTGGAGAAACCAATGAAATGAGCATAGACATACAAGTAGATAACGGGACAACGACGAGTACCGATAGCCCGCTTTTGGCTGCGGATAACGGACAGCAAGCAGGTACAGTGACTGCAAAAGATGCTCACTCAAACTCAAATTCAGACATTACTTTGTATCCCCACAATTTTTCCGGCGTTTACATTGTCTTAGTTGACTCATCCCAATGCAATGACATGATTGTAGTGCTTTCAAAAACTTATATTTTCGGTAAAGTTTTAGTTCCAATTAAATTTTTAATGTTTAACAAAAATACATTTTTAACTATACAGCAAGATGAAAAAATTTGAAGTGAAGAAAAATTTTCATTTTGATTTCCATTTACAAAAATAACTTAAATCAAAAATTTTCAAAATTAACAAAGTTAAAAAATGAAGCAAGTATAATAAAAAGTATGAACCCTACAATACTCCCCCTTCCAGAGAATCATTATGATATAAATTAAAAGTAACTTGTTTCTTTTTAGTCGTTGTTGAAAATGTGTGATTGTTAGTGTTATGTGATTGTGTTCTTTCAACTACCGCTGGCTTTAATCTGTCAATCGAAATAGTTTTAATTTCGTTATTTACATCTACCTTGAAATATTTCTTATCTTTTTCAATAACTCTGTAAGGTCCTTCATACGGATGTTGAAGAGAATGCTTGTTAACGATGCGAATGAAAACAAATTTACACGTTTGTAAATCTTTTGGAACATAAATTCCTGAATCAAATTCTTTATGATGTTTTAAATTTGAATTTACATTTTTAAAACGTTCTCGTAAACTACTTAAAATTTCGGTCGAAGTTACATTTTCTGTAGTTGGCATAACAAGTTCTCCAGGTAGACGCAAATTTTGGCCAAACATCATTTCAGCTGGAGTGGCTGCAATATCTTCTTTGTACACCGATCGTAAACCTAGAAGAATTATCGGTAGCTCATTGTACCAATCTCTAGTTCCATTTCTAGCCAAAATTGAGGATTTTAATTGTCTATGGAAACGTTCCACCATACCATTACCCTGAGGATGATAGGAAGACGTTGTGATATGGTGACTTCCAAGCAATTTATTAGTTCCGAAAATAATTTTGATGTAAATTGAGTGCCTTGATCCGTCGTAATTTCTAAAGGTACACCAAAACGCGATACATACTCAGTAATAAATTTATTTGCTACTGTCTGTGCAGAAATATCCTTTAAAGCATATGCTTCCGGCCAACGTGTAAATCGATCAATAAGTGTTAAAATGTAGCGATAACCTTTTGAAACAGGAAGCGGTCCAACAATATCTAAATGTATGTGTTCAAATCTACTCTTTGGAATTGGAATTGTGCTTACAGGAGATTTTGTGTGACGATAAACTTTAGATTTCTGACAACTTATGCATCCTTTTGACCATATGTTTATTTCCTTGTTCATATTAGGCCAATAATACTTATTAACAATTAATCGGCGTGTAGCCTTGGTACCAGGGTGAGAAATTCCATGTAATATATCAAACACTGTTCTACGTAAACTGCTTGGAACAAAAGGCCTAGGATTTTCTCCTGAAGCTTCACACCAAATATTAAAATTCAGAACA